TGCCGTCATCTCAATTGACTAAAACATAATTCTTTTTTTTAAGGTTTTATTTATCTTTAGAGAGCAGGAAAGGGAAGGAGAAAGAGAGGGAATGAAACATCGTATGGCTGCCTCTCCCACGCCCTTAACTGGGGACCTGGCCCACAACCCAGGCATGTGCCCTGACTGGGAATCAAACCAGCGACCCTTTGGTTCACAGGCCCGCACTCAATCCACTGAGCTACACCAGCCAGGGCCATAGTTCATTTTTAAATAATCAAAACACACATCTCTCCTAAATTCTTTTGACTATTGTTTTCAAGACTTTTTTTTTTCTCCCTAAGCCATAAGAATCATCCTCAATTTCACTTAGTTTAAGGAATCATTACACTGATCCCCAAAGTCAAGCACGGCCGTTTTCCAAGATTGGGCTGAGGAAGAATCGTGTTACCCACACTGCATGCAGAAGTCAGCATTTTCCCCCCTTTGTATATTGTTCACTTGCGGAATCTACAAGAGTATAAAAGGGTGGGGTCTCTTTCCAATTAAGTTTGCCTTACAGAGATATTTCCCTTTTAGCTGTAAAAGACACTGAGACACAGAAAGTATCTACACAAAAGACTTCTGAAATTACATCCCAAAAGAAGGCAGTTGTCCAAGAGGAAATTGCCCAAAAGGCCTTAATTTCTGAGGAAATCAAGAAGTCAGAGGTCAAATCTCAAGAAAAGTTAGCCCTCACTGAGGAAGCTTCGAAGGTTACGATTTCTGAAAAAGTCAAGAAATCAGAAGCAGCCTCCCTGGAAAAATCCATCGTCCATGAAGAAGTCACCAAAACATCACAAGCATCAGAAGAAATCAGAACTCAAGCTGAAATTAAAGCCTTTTCTACGCAGATGAGCATAACGGATGGTCAGAAAGTGACTTTGAAAGCCAACATTGCTGGTGCCACTGATGTGAAGTGGGTACTGAATGGAGTAGAGCTCACTAACTCCGAGGAGTACAGATATGGCGTCTCCGGCAGCGACCAGACGCTAACCATCAAGCAGGCGAGTCACAGAGATGAAGGGATCCTCACCTGCATTGGCAAAACCAGTCAAGGAATTGTCAAGTGTCAGTACGACTTGACCTTGAGCGAAGAACTCTCAAATGCCCCAGCCTTCCTCTCACAGCCTAGGTCTCAAAATGTTAACGAAGGACAAAGTGTCCTCTTTTCTTGTGAAATCAGTGGTGAGCCCTCCCCTGACATCGAATGGTTTAAGAACAACCAACCGGTAAGGTTTAATTATAAATTTACCATCGAAGAAAATTTTAAACACTATGCCTACTCCTGCAGAGCTCAAAGAAACACTTATTTTACTCCTTTTTAGATTTCGGTTTCTTCAAATGTCAGCGTAAGTCGCTCCAGAAATGTGTATTCTCTGGAGATCCGCAGCGCATCAGTAAGTGACAGTGGGAAGTACACGATTAAGGCCAGAAATTTCCGTGGCCAATGTTCAGCTACTGCTTCCTTAACGGTCCTTCGTAAGTACATCTTTGCCATTTTCATTATTTGTTGAGGCCTTTATGTGGGGGTTTCTGGTTTTCATTTTTAGTTTTGGCCTTTGTTTTCTGAGCCCAGCAAACTCAGGAGCCTCGTTAAATTCCATGGGTAAGAGGCACAGGCCTCCTGTGTAAACTCATTCTTCCCATCAGTTTCTTCACAGCTCAGCAGAAGAGCATGGACAAGTTAACGTCCTCATTCTTCCCATCAGTTTCTTTACAGTGCAACAGAAGCATGGACCAGTTAACTTTCAAAGCAAAGTTACCAACTGCCCTGTCACATCTATTTTCAGAATGCACAATATTGAAATTATCTTCCATATGCCTAATCATTTATCTCCTAGTGATTCTAGTACCTGCATGTAATGCGATGATAGAAACATAAGGATTCATTTCTGGGACACATTTGAGCTAGCTCTTGACAAATGTATGTATCGATGTATCTGCTTATGCTTCCACAGCAAATGGGGTTACGTTTCTGTGTGTGTTTAAGTTTGCCATTTCCGTAAGTCACTGTCGGATGTCCCACATTAACCGGATGTCATTGATGTTCACTGTATCTGCTATGCTCCACAGCTCTAGTGGAAGAACCTCCCAGAGAGGTAGTATTGAGGACAAGTGGCGACACGAGCTTGCAAGGAAGCTTCTCGTCTCAGTCCGTCCAAATGTCTGCCTCTAAGCAGGAGGCGTCCTTCAGCAGTTTCAGCAGCAGCAGCGCTAGCAGCATGACTGAAATGAAATTTGCAAGCATGTCCGCCCAAAGCATGTCCTCCATGCAAGAGTCTTTTGTAGCAATGAGTTCCAGCAGTTTTATGGGAAAATCTAGTATGACACAACTGGAAAGCTCAACTAGTAAAATGCTTAAAGCAGGCGTAAGAGGTGAGCAATAAAACCACTGGGAGCTGTAGACAAGCCTAGTAGACTGGGCTACTTCTTTAATTCATACATTTCAGTAGAAAGCAAATCGTTATTTTTCTTCCATGATCCTAAAACGTTTTTGTTGTCGCTGTTCCCTAAAGGAATTCCACCCAAAATTGAAGCTCTTCCCTCTGACGTCAGCATTGATGAGGGCAAAGTTTTAACAGTAGCCTGTGCTTTTACGGGGGAGCCCACCCCAGAAATAACATGGTTGTGCGGTGGAAGAAAAATCCAAAGTGAAGAACAGGGGAGATTCCACATCGAAAACACAGAGGACCTGACGACGCTGATCATCACGGACATACAGAAACAGGACGGCGGACTTTACACCCTGAGCTTAGGGAACGAGTTCGGGTCCGACACTGCTACCGTGAACATCAGTATCCGCTCCATTTAGGAGGGCCCGCGCTCTCCTACTCATTCTTAACCTTTCACCAATGATTCACATGGACTAATCTTTCTCATCTGTAAATAGTAAGGAAAAAAAGTAGTTTTGTATCAACTTCAATGAGTCAAAGTTCAAAATATGCATTTCAATCTTTTCTAATTGTTGACCTAAGAATATTATACATTTTCTAGTGACATGTACATACTGTATATAGCCGGATTCACGGTTATAAAGTTTTGTACCTTTATTTTATGACATTTTACAATGTAACTTTGGAAACTAACTGTTGGTAGGAGAAAGTTTCTTATGGGACGAATACCCTGCTCAACACTTAACCAATCTTTGTGCCTCAACATAACGTTGATGTCTAAGTTTGCCTCAGCGGGTTGAGAAAGTCCCCGCTGAAGACGTCCTAGCCACCTGAGAGATCGTGCTGTGCACAAGACCTGCCTGTGCACCAATACCTGCTGCATCAGAAATGTAAGGCGTTGGTGATGTTTGCATCTACCCTCCTGCAAGCAACACTTTAACATCTTACATTTTCTCTGATGATGTCACACTCAAAATTATCATGACTTAAATGTTACCAGAGCAAAGTGTAACGGCCAACACTTTGTTCGCTCATTTCGCACTGCCTCTGACCATAGAGAGTGCCTGGGTAGCTTGGCAAAGTAACATCGCCTGGCCATCCCCTCATTTAACCAAGCTACTCAAGCGTTCCTATGTCGGAGCAGTGCCCACTCTTGGAGGTCTCGGGGTGCAGCCAGTGCCTTCGTGTGGTAGCTCTAAATTTAACTTACCCTGAGAAACTGGGGCAACTAAGCAATGAGCCGCAGCAAAATATAACAACAAACACACAATCGAGCTGTCGTTAAACTAAAAGCAACAACATTACTAACTGCCCAAAGTATCAATTTGATGTAGCTCTTTTCATGCAAGTATAAATTCAATTGTTAGTTTTAATTGTTGGACCTCCTTGAGATAGTAACAACAAAATAAAGCAAGCTATCTGCACCTCAAAATGTGTGGTTGTTTTCTGTGAAATTCTGGGGTTGGGGAGGTACGTGTCTTCACAAATCCCAGAAAAGATCATAAGATAGAGCATCTCAAGTTCAAAATAGCCTACGTTCATAAATTCATTAAATATTTAAATTATTGTGCAGAATGTATTCAACAATTTTTTTAAAACATATGTATAATTCTCCTGGATAAATTTATCTTCAAAAGTTAATAAAACTCCCCCAAAATAACAGATAACATCTTCTAATCCCATCAATAAAGGTATTTTTATGGGAGCCAATTCAACTAATCTATCAAAGACACTAAACATCTACAATATCTTGCCCCAAACACCACACAGAACACCATGAAAACGAGCAAGATGACAGACCTTGTCCCCCAAGGAGTGTGGTGAAGAGAAAGTGACAACCTCACAGCACGTGATTAACTGTGTGCATGACACTGACTACTGCAGCTCCAAAATTCAATAGAACAAATAAAGGCCCTCAAATCTAAAAGTCTTGTTCTAAATGCCACAGCGTCATGCTTTTTAAAACAACTGATCTATACTGATCTATATTTTACAATACGTAGTGCCAGAAATATCTGCATTTATCCGCTTGCAATTGTAAACCTATAAAGTTGATTCTTTGCCCAAATTACCTCCTAAAAATAAGTACAATTTACAAATGTAAATAACAGAACAATTACTCTAAATCGTAAGTACAAGTGACCAAAGCCAAAGCAAGTGTACAGTCAAGTTTTATTCTTCAAAAGAAGGCCATGGGTCTTCAGTAATTTATTCAGCATGTACTATCTTACGGCAGATTCCCTAAAGCAGAATATTTGAGGGATTGCTGTCAGGAAAAATGGGAGTGAGGGGGGCCGGGGAGAGGAAGAAAGGGAAGCGGGAAGGCAGCCTCAGCAGGGGCTCCGGCCTGATCCCGCAGAGGGTGGTGGGGTTTGGCGAAGTAACCTCCCAGGTGAGGTCGGGGTGGGGGGCAAAGGGCTTTAGCCACATCAATCTCTGCACACTGGGGCGGGCAAACAGAACTCCAGAAATCGGGCGAGGTACACAAAACCTAGGGGAATCCGAGGTACCAACAGCACCAACACTACACCATCTAACAACTTAAAATGCCTACTCTTACTTTAAAATGAGAGAGGCAGGACTTACTCAGTGATTCCTGAGGATGACTCCCAGCACTGACATGCTAATATTTAAACAGGTCCCGTTCCTGATTGAGGTGCAGTCCATGCAGATGAGAATTTTAAAGCCGAAAGGCTTTCACACTTCCGCAGTTGCTATTCCCAGGCTCTGAGATCCAAAGTCTCCCTGGGAGAAAGAGGCGGGGCAACGATCTACCCAGTGAAGGGGGTCGTCGCTACCGGCCAAGCCTGGGAAAGTACGCGGACTAGGAAAGCGGCTCCGCTTGCCCACGTGGGCCCAGGTGAAAGGGTTACCTACGGAGGATCCTGGAAGTCCGTTAGAGGCAGGGCAGCCTGAACGACCAGAACCCCTACCCGGGTCACCGGCAGCCTCCTTCCCTAACAGTGCTCAGGCGCAGGGGTGGGGTGGGGCGAGGGGAGGAGATGCCTGCTCCACCCCGCCCCACCTCCTCCCCCCGCCCCACCTCCAGGGATCCTCCATGGTTTAATCCCATCACTGCTTTTCCAATTCAAACCACCTTTTCTCTCTCGCTGTCAGCTGGGGGCGACAGAGAGCCGCAAGCCGTGCGTCCTCGTTCCAGCCAATCAAAGGACAAAACCCAAGAGAAATCTTCACTCCTCCTGCCCGCTTTTGCTGAATCCTTCCTGTCTTATTTTATAAACCGCACAGCCTGGCTACATGACAGGCAGCCTAATGTAAGCATAACACATCCTCACTCAAAACCCAGAGTAACGAGCTGAAACCTAGGACCTGCTGACTTATGTGACCTGGGCCAGGTTACTGAACTTCTCCCTTCCTTGATGTTCTCACCCACAAAATGGGAATAACAGCAGCACTGACCTCACAGGGCTGTTGTGAAGATTCAAAAAGTTACTCCATGTGAAACTTTTAGAGCAGTGCCTGGCACAGCACTGGGTAAGCACCACCAATCATTATTATATTCCGGACCACCATAAACCATGGGAGCAGACAGAGAAGCAGCATTTTAGAGGGGAGGGAGAACAAAGCTCACTCACGATCACTCAGTGTATTTGCTAGCTAGGGCTGCTGGAACAAAGTACCACAAAACGTAGGGGCTTATACACAGAAAGGCTAGAATTCTCTCCAAAGTGGAAGGGTCAGCGGGGTCTGTTCCTTCTGAGGGCTGTTAGGGAAGGAGCTGGTCCACACTACTGTTTGACCTTCAGGTGGCCACCTTCACATGCCCACAGCCTGCTCCCTGTGTGCATGTGTGGGTCCCGATTTCCCCCCTTTAGAAGGTCACCAGCATATTAGGATCTACTGTAGCTTTACCTTATTTTAACTTTATTATCCGTGTAAAGACTCTATCTCTAAATAAAGTCACATCCTGAGGTACTGGGGACTTCACTCTAGCTTTCTGGGGAGGATACAGTTCAACCCATAACACCAGACGTGACGGGCATGGGACAACACACGTTTAGAAGTAATGTGATGGATCTTCGTGAAAGATGAATGTCATCCCTATTCAATAGTGGCTGATTAGACCAATGAACCACGCAGAGGCAGGGAGGGAGGTAAATCAGAAACAGTAAAAGAACAGGCTAAGTTGGCAGTCTCCATTGTGACTGGTTGAAGGATACAGTTTTATGATTGTGTCTCAGGAAGAGAAAGTAATTCACATCTGTTTATTCTGCCCCAAATGTAATTTTGAGAAATTCAGGCAGAGCAAGTCCAGTTGCCTTGTAATAGAAGAAAACAGCGTCTGTTAGATACATAGAAAGACTTCTGACAGTAGATTGGCCCATCAATTCTTATCCTAAGGTTATAAAAAGTGAATAGTTAGTTTTATGTTTTTTGTTATGTCTGGGTCAATATTTCCCAAACTCTTCCTGGGGATGTTGGTAAAAGATCTGGGGGCCAGGGGCCAGTGGGGGGAGGAAGTTCCACAGCCAAATAAACTTAAGACTTGTACTTCTTTTTTTTTCTTTTTCAATTAGTTTACATTTAGCATTATTTTGTATTAGTTTCAGGTGTGCAGCATGGTGGTTGGACCATATACTTTAAAAGGTGTTTCCTCAATATTTCCAGTACCCACCTGGCAGTGTAGTTATTACAATATTACTGACTATATTCTCCATGCTGTACTTTATGTCCCAGTGACTAATTTGTAACTATCAAATTGTGCTTCTTAATCCCTTCATCTTTGTCACCCAGTTCCCCAAGCCCCCTCCTCTCTGGTGACCATCCGTCAGGACGTGGGTAGGGTAATCATACTCCTTTAAGCGGGACTACTTAGAGCCTTCAATGAGCTAGTACGTGTTGATCCTCCAAAGGGATAACACAGTGCTCCCCGATCTTATTTGGTGATGGAGCAGTTTTCGTTGGTGCTGCACGATGCAGGCTGAGATGGGGATCAAGGACGGGAATATGGGAGGTGCGAAGAGTCTCAGTAAAAGGAGGAACTGGATTATCACCTAAGAAATGAAAGTGCTATGACTATAAAAAAAAAAATCTAAGATGTGTGAGAGCACATGGCCGGGGCATCTGATCCAGTCAGAGAAATGGAGAACTGTCAGGTTAGAGGAAGCTGCGTGCAAGTGCATGACCTGCAGTGTGGGGTGAGGAGGAGCAGGGTGGGGCTTTCAGGCAGAGGATCTTTAACCCTGCAGAGGTCCGGGGACAAGGGAGAGAGAACCATACAGTCAAACAAAATTAGAAAAAAAGGGGGTTAGTAAGGCTGGTGCAAGAATCTCTGAAGGGCTGGGGGTGAGAGGGAGGTCAATGTTGCCAAGTTTCGTATAACAAGTTACAGAGTTTGGGCTCTTCCCTAGGACATAAGGGGAACCATGAGAGAGATTCAAGGAAACTGGTTACTTGGTCTAATTTTAGTTTTACAAAGTCTTTAGCTATTCTGAGAAAGTTATGACATTTATTTGTCATTCTACATCAAAGGGTTTATTTCCTCCTGTGGGACACCACTCAGGAAGGAAGACCTTGACCTACCACCAAACGTCTAGCCCACAGTGGTCCTGTAATTACAGCTCGATAAAGGCAGGCTGATAAGACTCTCCAGGCACAGGAAGAGGGTGGGAGAGGCTGGGAGGGGGTCCCTACCGCCACGGCCTTCTCAGTGGCACTTCTTTCTCTGCGGAATTGGCAGTGGGAAAGTGGAAGAGTCTGGTCCCACAAGCCAAGTTCCCCTGAGGGTGCGATATCAGGGAAGTGGTTCTTGGAGAAGACTCCCCATTCTCTCCTGCTCCATTTTAAGGAAAGGCAGACAGTAGGTAAGAGGAGTGGGCAGATATGCCGGTGCTGTCCATCCAATCTGTCAGGGGTCCCCAGAAAAAGATAGCATGCCCTAAAAGTCAGGATTCCACACCAGAAATGTGCGCTTATCCTAGGATCTTTAGAAGTCTGTGAGCTCCCTGAGGTTATGTCTATGTCTATTTTCTAAGGTCGTGATTCCTAGCTTTCATTTCATTTTGAAAGGTGCAAATGATGCAGAAAGTTTAAGAAATATTACCCTTCATGCTTCAGAAAAGGAGCAGACAGATGCCTAAACTGTCTGAGCAATACCTACTCACGGCTCTCCGTGAGAAGCTCCACACTGGAAACCCTGCAGGGCTCTGAGGCTCAGAACCCCTTTCCTTCTGCATCCAGCAGGGGCTGCTGTTAATGAGCCTCATGCAAGTATGTTCTTCTCTAAGGGCCCTTGCAAACCAGCAGAGACTCAAGGACAAATGTTTCTTGCTAAAGTCCCTGCATTCTAGGGGCAGTCCCTAGGGATGTGGAGGGCACCCTGTCTGCCACCAGTCTCGGCCTTGGAGAGGAACACGGGGACAGAATTCCTCTCTGTAACTGCAATGAATAGAAGAGGTCAGCATACTGCTGACAGACAGCTCCATCTGAGGCTACCGTAATGTTTTTAGATTGTTGTCAGGTGAGGCACACAGGTATTCCTCATTCCCCATCAGCCCACAGAAATAGGTGAGGTTTGCATCCCATCTCCACTCTCACTTTTCTGCCTAGAACCCAAAAAAGCTGGCGAGAAGGGACACCACCTGGCCCATCAGCCTGAGACCGAATGGGAGGCTGAGAGGCCCTGTCCTGATAAACGGATGGACCACGAAGGGGAAGAGAATGAGGCCTCTAATGGAGACATCCACTGGAGGGAAAGCTGAAAGTGGAGAACAGTGAGCTCCAGGGTCTTCGCATAACAGGCACGTCACACGGTGAGTAGCAGAGCTGGAAATAGAAGCCAGGTCTCCGTGTGCCAGTGTGGTCTTGCATCCCTTCAAGACACCAAAAACCAAACCCGCTAGAGAGTGAGTGTGCAAGAGCTCATTGTGCAGGGAGAAGAGGGTTCTGTTCCACGTTCGGGGTCACCAAAGCGCCAGCGCAGGGTAGACAACAACATCCGTTCGGGACACGCCCCATAAAAGGGCCCCTAGGTTCCCACTTAGTAGGTCCCTCCTCTGTGACAGACAAGGCCAGAAGTGCTGAACCTTTACTGGCCAGGACGTAGGGTGCTTCTCTGACCCCGCATGTCACGTCAATGGCCAGGGGTGAGAGAGCCAAAAGCTTCTGTAAAAAACGTTATGGGGCTCTAAAGAAATTACAGAAAAGAACCTTCCCCACGGTCCTGACAAAACAACTGGCTCGATCCTGGGTGGTTCTGAGACAGAGGGGCACCAGCCTACCACTCCCCGATGTTCAAGGTAGGGGCCACCGCCATGAGAAGGGAGGGCTCCAAGATGGGAGCACTCGGCAGCCATTCCAGAGAATGGGGAGCATTCAGTTTCATGTTTCTGTTTGAGACTAGGATGAGTAAATGTCTGACTTAAAATGAAATCTCTCTTTTTAAAAGAAATTGTCAAAGTAAGGATACATGTGAAGTGTTCTTGCAAAGACTATACCTTTTATTTTCCCTTAACACACAAGGTAGCTGCGAGAAAGAATTCAAAGGGCACAACCTGCGCCCAGTGACCATTCTTGTAGCCCCTTTCCTTCCCCAAGTTGGAGAGAGCAGAGCCTGGTGACGGTGGTGATGGTGGTGATGGTGGTGACGGTGGTGAGCGTTCCCTTTGCCTGTGCTCCAGATCAGTCACCCGTAGCTATCAACCTGCTGATGTGCGCACACAGTACTAGTTTCATTTTCCATCCCTGTACGGAAATGTCACAGCGTGGGGGTGGGGATGAACTGGGGTGGGAGTAAAAGACAGAAAACTGTACTTGAACAACAATTAAAATAAATAAATTTTTTAAGAGAGAAAGAAAGAAAATGTCAGAACTTAGGACAGAAATCCACAGGAGGGAGCAAAAGGCAGAGCGCATGAATATGGACATTGGCCCTAACATCACCTCCAACAGTGCTCCTCAGAACTGAAAGGGCAGAGGAATCACCTGGAAATCTTATTCAAATGC